TCCGTGCCCCCCGCTCCACCCTTTATCCCCAGAGCTTTGCTTCCTCCTCCTCTGGATGCTCAAGTTCAAAGTAGAGGACGGAAGCCCCCGCAGTTGGTGGCCCCTGCCCCCGGGGGACCTGCGGAGGTGATGGGACCCCGACCGGGGCGATGCTCCGGGCAGCACCTGGGGAAGGTGGGTCCAGCTTCCCCAGCCGCCCGCCGCTGCCGTTTCCAGCCCCGTGGCTTTTTCTCTCTTTCAGTTTGCTCCTCGCCCCTTCCTGCGCCGTGGGTCTCACCCGATCTTCCTTCCTGTCAGCGCAGCGCTGCTGCCTATGCAAATCGATGCGACTTATCTGCTGAAAAACAGCAGTGCGTGGGAAGCACCCCAAGCCTATGTGACCCTCCCCGGCCGCAGGGGCGCGGGATCTGTCCTGGTGGGACGCTCGGTGCACGGCCGGTTCCCCAGCCACGGCTGCTTTCTCCCGGGAGAGCCATGAAACCGGGCTGGTTAGCATCCAAATTACATGGAATTCCCTCGAAGCAGAACCATGAGCTCACCCCGGCCTGGGAGAGCCGAGGTTTTTGCTACGTACCCGGCTCGCTAGCCGGGAACACTGGGGAGATCCCGTGGAAGAGGCAGCTCTGCCCTTTGCTGGGCCATGCATGGCAAGATTTCCACGAGTAAATTCAAGTCGTATCTCGAAAGAGCAGAATGAGGGGGGCAGGAGTAAACTCCCTTTCCTCCAAAGCCATTTTTCTGCCAGTGCTGAATGTGGTCTCGAATTGTGAGCTTACCTGGAAGGAGGTGGATCGCATGGCACTGAGGAGCACTGCATCCGCATCCGAGGAGCCAGCGCCGCCGGCAGGATCTTCCCTCCCCAGCTTGGCTCAGGCAAGTGGGGTTGGTCGTCATTTTGCACGTTTGTTCTACAGAAGCCTTCGTTTGTAAATCCTATTGCAGGTTTTGCTGGCATTTAGGCAAATCTTACTGATTCTGAGGTGCTGAGTAGGGAGATCCCCTGAAGGCAGGGGAGCAGGGTGGCGGCAGCACCGAGACTCAAGGCGAATAACCCGACTTTCCGTGCATCCCGGGGCAGGGCAGCAGTGCCCGGGGAAGGAGCGAAGCGTATCTCATGGAGCTAGCAGGTAGCTGTAATGAAGCTGTATTTAAATCTGTGGTTACGCAGCTTTCCCTTCACCGAGTCCGGCCGGGAGGTGGTCGATGGCTGATGGTGGAGGGGAGATGATGGTGGAGATGATGGTGGCGGATGGAGCTCTCGCAGTGGAGAGCTGATGGGGGACGGGGTGGGCTCACACGCCCGGTGAACTTGCTTTTGGGGAGGAGAGGTGGGAGCAAGCAGGAGCTGGGACCTCCAGCCACCGCTCTGGGCTCTGCACCTCCCAGGGATGGCTCCGGGCACAAGCCTGGCTCTCTGCTGGTCCCGGGGCTGCGCCTGGCAAGGGGCTAAAACCTTCCGTCTCCCAAGCGTTAGGTCTGCTGGTAATTTCCTGCCCTGTCAGGAGGCTGGTTTCAAGAGGAAATGGCATCAGGGAAGTCCCGTCAGTTGTCACCTTCCCGATAAGCTGTAGCTGAAGCTCCCTCACGTCAACGTGACTGTGCAGAAGCCCCCGTCAGGGCTCTACCTCCTCCTTCCACACTCATTTGTGTTAATTAACGCATCGAATTATTTCTTTGCGACTGTTTATAACACATCCCCCATGTATTTTTCTGGGCTGTTTACTTGATTCACACCCCAATTTCCCAATGTATTTACGAAGTTCAACCTATCGAGTTCCCAGCGGGACAAGTTTGGGCCATCCCTCTCTAACCAGCCCAGCGAAGCTCATGAGGTGACACAGAACCCTCCTGCTACTGCAGCACCGAGGGTCTACGAGCCTCGGGGCGGAAGGGGCACAACCCCTAACGACCTCCCCGGGGGTTATACAGGGGCTCTCAGATTTTAAGGGGCTGAGGATACAGCAGGGGGGTCAGCCGATGGATGTGCCGCCCTCCCAGGGGTGGGCACCCCGGCCTGGCAGCAGCCGGGGAGCAGCACACCCAGCCTCTCCTGTTGGTCG